GAAACCTGACACAATGTATCAAGGAGGATGAGGATTTTAAGTTAGTAGATTCAGAATATCACTGCACCCACTAAACTTTTGTGCACACACTAATTCTTGGTCATGGATTAGAATCTATAATATATTTGTTTTTAAGAAAATCTCAACTATATAGCTCAAGCCAAATCCGCCCCTAACTGAAAGCAACTAACTTACCCATACAAAGCAATAAAGCAAATTGTCTGTGTTCAAGAGAAAGGAAGAGGGGCCCCAAATACCGATCCACAAGAATCTTAAGTCAGTGGATTTGAAGTACCAATGGAATCACTACTTCTTGGTTCGCATGTAGATATATACTCCCTCAATTCACTTTTACTTGGCACGTTTTGACTTTTCACGCCCCTTAAGAAATACTAATAAATGAAGTGCATAATTTACCATGATACCCATAGTAATTGATGCACATTATATTAGATTTGAGAAAATAATTTGAAATGCGTAATAAATAATGTGGGTATAACAGGAAAAAAAGATTGCGTAAAGTGACAAGTAAAAATGAAAATCTATTTTTAGTATACACGCCAAGTAAAAATAAAAGGAGGGACTATATATATAACTTTAGAAAGTTTCCAAGTATAGATATGTAGCTTAAGTTGAATCCACAAAATATAATAAAAAAGATCTAATCTTGCACTATTATTCCTCCATAACAGGAAGCAACCAACACACTCATATAAATCAGTGAGCAAATCGCGGACATTTTGAGACAAAGGAAGAGAGACCCAATACACCACTCATCAAGGGTTCAAGGGTTCCAAGTACCAAAGCAATCACTATTTCTTTATAACTATAGCTTGGAACTTAGTATAGTCATTATTTCTAAACAATGATTCAAAAATATTCTCAAGCCAACGAAAAAACAATCTTGCATTATCATTCCTTCATAACAGAAGCAACCAACACACTAACATATTGCAATAAACAACATGCGTTTCAGAAAAAAGTACAACAGCGACAACATACCCATCCATCAAGGCGAAGGGCTTGGAGAAACCATTGATAACCAACAGTGGACTTAAAGGAAATAGGGTCAGGAGCCACGTCAGCGTTTTTATGCAATTCTGACCGCAATATATGCAAATCAAGGACTGAAGCCCTCTGAGAAATTTGCCTCGGCAGTGTTTACAGCGGAGATAGGGTGGAGAAGGGTCGAAGGCGGCGACGGAGGCGGAAAGAGAAGGCATGGCCGGAAGTGAGGGGTCGTCTGGGTTGTAGTTGGGTAGACCCGCTTCGGTTCGGGTCGAGATCTTGGCTTGATGGATCAGATCATTTGGGAGCTCCAATGCCATTGTCGAGCAAAGCCAACAGAGTGGTGTATGTTTAGTTAGGGATTTTGTTGTTTTCTTCAGTTCAATCACTTGAATCTACTCTGTTCCCACATCATGTACTTTAGTACTACGTCTTTTCTTTTAGTATTTATTTTGGTCCTTAGCACATTATTTATTTATTTATTTATTTTTGGTAATTAGACTTTCATTTACCAGAGAAATATTTACAATTGAATCAAAAAACCCTTACATATATCCTAAGCTTTCTGTACTACTCCCCGTTTAACTACCTTGCTATTGCTATATTGTTTTGGCTATTACATAGAGTACCAATCCAGTCTACTTAGTGCTTTTTTCATATATTTATTGCTTCGACAGTGTAGTTATTGTATGATCAACTTGCCAAGTATCTCCTATCGTCTCACTTTATCTTGAAAGATTCTGGCATTTCTTTCCTGCCACACGTAGAATACACATGATGTCAATGTCATCTTAAATAATTCAGCACTTGTATTTTGCCTCTTCAACCATTTTTCAGCCCATGCTAATTCCTTAATCCATCCATATACTGGTCTTCTTATCCCTTGCCAAGTTAACAAGTTGCCCCATAACTCAGCTGCATAAGAGCACTCAAAGAATAGATGCTGAATAGTTTCACTCTCTTTTCTGTATAGTACACATACCTGATCAATTTGTATTCCCCATTTACTCGGTCTATCTTTAATATATAATTTGCCATGTGTTGTCATTGTTAGCATCAAAGTCCACCTAGGGCAGCCAGCATTAATGCATTTCTTCCAACTCACTTTGTTGAAGCTTCCTCTCAGTTTGTGATATATTTGCTTAATTGAACGGTTGTTCATCTTTCTGATATCTTCATGGTTAAATCCTGCTTCCTCAAATGTCTTCTTTGCTTTCATAATCTTGCTCATCATCCATGATGTTTGTTTCAGTTGGACTTCCCATATGTTCCTGCCTCTGATGTAGTAGCTGTGCATCCATTGAATCCAGAGCTTGTTTTTCTCTTTGCATAAGTTCCAGTATTGTTTACATATAGCAGCTTTGTTCCACACTGTGATGTTCAGAATATTGAATTCTCCTGCTGATTTGGGCATACATACTTTCTCTCATGCAAGCAATGCTTTCTTAGAGATGTTACCCTCACTTGTCCACAAGAAACTTCTACAGATTGCCTCAATTAGCTTAGTGATCTTCTTTGAGAGCACAAAGATTTGTGCCTAGTATGTTTGGATAGAGAACATAACACTTTTGATCAACTGATTCCTTCCAGCATAAGATAGGAATTTAGCTGTCCATGAGGTTATTCTGCCTGCTATTTTGTCAATTAATGGTTGGCATTGGGCTACTGATATTCTCTTGGAACTTAAGGGAACTCCCAGGTATCTAACTGGTAATTCACCTTTTTGGATTCCCAGGAATTCTAGAATAGCTTCCTGAACATCTTGTGGTACTCCTCCAAAGAAGATTGAACTCTTCTGCTTGTTGATCGCCAATCTTGAAGCTTTGGAGAACTCCATGAAGCAGTTGTATAGTAGCTTGATTGATCCTATGTCACCCCTGCAAAAGAGTAATAGGTCATCTGCAAAACCAAGTTGCATAATTTGCAACTTTTCACGCTTGGGATGATAATTGAAGTCAGGAATCTGGTTCAGTGTCTTTAGGCTCCTTGTCAGGTATTCCATTGTTATCACAAATAGAAATAGGGATAATAGATCCCCTTGCCTCAGCCCTTTCTAGCTTCAAATGGTTGAGTCAATGATCCATTAACCAAGATAGTATATGTGACACTTTGCATACAGCTCGTGATCCATCTCACAAACTGGTCTGTAAAGGCCATTGCATTTAGCACCTGCTCCATAAGGCCCCATTCAATAGAGTCATATGCCTTTTGCATATCCAGCTTCATCATACACCTTGGTGACACCCCTCTTCTTCCATATCCTTTTACAAGTTCATGGCTGAGGATAATGTTGTATGTTATCACTCTTCCAGGGACAAAGGCAGACTGTGATTTATCAATTAAAACATCCATCACCTTTTGTAGTCTCTTAGTTAGGATCTTAGAGATCATTTTATACAAAGTAGTGCAGCAGGAGATTGGTCTAAATTCTTTAATGCTTGTAGGATTCCTTACTTTAGGGATCAAAGTGATTGTTGTGCAGTTGATAGGTTTGTACATTTGAGTTGATTCAAAGAACTCTAGAACAGCCTTAGTCACATCCTCTCCTATTACTACCCATGATTTTTTGAAGAAAACTGCATTAAAGCCATCATAACCAGGTGTTTTTAAATCACTGATGTCCTTTAATGCTAGCCACACTTCCTCCTTGGTCACTAGTTGAATGAGTTGCAGTTGATGCTCCCTACTTAGTATTGTTACTATCTTCATGACATTTGGATTAATAGCAGGTATACTTTCTGCTTTTGAACCCAATAACTTCTTGTAATAACCCTTATTTATGCCTCTATATATTCTTCTAGCAATAGTTGGATCCCCACTTCATTTGTTAGAGCCTGGATGTCATTCAAGTTATTCTTGTTCTTCATTTGAGCAAAGAAATAGGCAGAATTGGAATCTCCCAGTTTCAGCCATTGGACTCTAGATTTTTGCTTGTAGATTCTCTCTTCAATCAGTGACCATTTTTCTTGTTCACATTTAAGTGTTTTCTCCTTCTCAATTAAATCTGATTGGTGCACTCTACCACTCATCTCCTCTTGAACAGCTAGCAACTCCTTCCTTGCTTCTTTAATTCTATTCTCCACACCTTGGTAATGCTGAGTGTTTATCCCTTTTATAATCTCTTTGACCTTTTTGAGCTTGTTCCATACATGCTGCATCATTTCATGTGTTCCATCATCCCTCCATACTTGTTCTACATGTTGTATAAAGTGAGGATGGTCTACTATACAATTGAAGAACCGAAATGGCCTATTCTTCTTCCTTTGTATCTGTGTAATCATTAGCTTGAGTGGAGAGTGGTCAAACACTGATGGTTCTAGCACCTGTATTTTCAAGCTTGGCATTGTCAACATCCATTTAGCATTAACCAGCCCATGTCTATTCTACTATATGTATTATTATTGGTCCAAGTATAGTCCCTTCCCACAGTTTGCAGCTCATTCATCCCGGTATCCTTCATGAACTCTTTGAAGTTTTTTTATCTCCATATCTTGTACCACTGAGCCATATTGTCTATCATGTTCATTTAACACAGCATTGTAATCTCTCCTTGCTAACCAGGGTCCTTGTTGTGTACTGTGAATCAGTCTCAATTTGTTCCACAGGCGCTGCCTATCTTTAATGGTATGTAGTCCATAAATTATTGTAAATCCAATTGTAAACAATTTAGAAACTACACTGAGTTGACCATGTATTACTTGCTCATCTATTTCAATTGGTTACATACATAGATTCTAGGATCCCAAATCACTCAAATTCTGCTTTTGTTCATAGTACTAAAATTGGTTATCCATTTCCACCCAGGTGCAATCTTCTCCATTACATCTCTAGTTTTCTGCTCTTTTATTCTGTGTTCTATAAGGACTATTACTGCTTTTTTATTATCTTTTATAAACTCCTTTATCTCCTTTTTCTTATAGGTTTTATTCATTCCCCTAACATTCCATGTGATCACACTCATATTGGTATGAATTGAGTACCTTGATACCACTCTTGCACCCCTTCACTCCTCATCTGCATACTACTTGTGCCTGGGTCACTATTTGCTTGATCATTTCTCACCGACTGGAATCCATTGTTACCAATCAATCTTTGTTCCTCATTTTGTTTAGCTTTGGCTGCCCTTGCTGCTGATTTACCAAGTATTGTTACCCACTCATCTTGCTTTCCTTGATTCTCATTGTCCTTTGTCTTTGCCCCTTGTTCTACAGTTTGGATTACTTCATTCTTTCCATTTAGCTCAGCCTCATGTTTGTTTTCATTTGATCCATCTCTATCAGTTCTAAGCCAAACTTGTTTGACTTTAGTCATATATCTTTTTCTGTGGCTGTGGGCCTCTAGTTTCATTACAGTCATGTCCTATTTTCAGACATTTAGCATAGAATGCTGGTTCCCAATCATATGTAATTTCCTGCTGTATAATTTTGCCTTTTGGATCTTGTAGCTTCATTGTTCTAGGCAATGGTTTAGTGACGTCCATTTCAATTAGCATCCTTGCATAAGATATTCTCATTGCTTCAGTAGTACACTCATCGGCATAAACACGATTTCTCAGAGCACTACCTAATTTGCTTAGGGCCTTCATACTCCAGCAATTGAGTGGTAGATTTGGGAATCTGACCCACAGGGGAATGGTTTTCAGTATTTCATCATGCAAATTAAAATCAGCTGACCATGCTTTCATGATTATTGGACGATTGTTCACCGTGTGAGGCCCGGAATACAGTACTTGGTCTCTTTCTTCCACATTGCTAAACCTTATCACAAAGTAGTCATCATTATGATAGTAGATCTGTGGCTTCACTAAAAATTTACCTAGTGAGCTCAGGAATCTTTCCATTGCTCCAATAGTAGGTGAATCCCCTATCACATACAGCACAATCACAGAACTCCACTTCTCATTTTCCTGTTCTACATCCTCAAGGTCTAGTTTTACAATCTTCTCCCCATTTTGGATTATCGGAGCAATAAATTGTAGATTCATACCTTTCATCGCTAGTTTGTTGCGCCCTACCACATTTGCCCATGTTTGTGTCTTCCTCTTTTTTCCTGGTTCAGCACATTTATTGTTTTCGACAGTACCTGAGCTGCATGGTACTGTTCCATTGTTACTCGGAGTCATCGCTTGTTTTTGAGCTATCCCGCTCCCAGATCCGCCTGCTATAGCTTGTGCAGCTACAGGTGTGGCATCTACAGCTTTCATTTTGCCATTTCTACCAGCTAGATATGCTTCATCCTTGCTATGTTCGCTTTGCATGCTCCTAGGTGTGACTGATTCATTTGGTTCTACAATCCTCACTCCTTTTGGTGATACAAATAGCTCTAGGACTGCATTTCTGGCTTTCGCTGATCTTTGATCTGTAGCTGAAACCTTCATAAGGTTCCTCTTAGGTCTGCCTCTCCCACTCATGGCTTCCTAGGTGCACGTTAGCTAGGCCCCGTTAACGTGCGCCGAGAGAAAACTCTAGAGAGAGAAAACTCAAGAATGATTTTTGCACATTATTTATTTAGTTTACCTGAGTTAGTTTTTCTTTTATTCTTTCCCTTTTCATTTGGACATCTGCTTTCCTTTTTCCCCCTTAATTCTTGTCACATTATAGGGAAAATAAGTTTTCATGGTCATTTATAATAATGTTGAAATTAAGAAAGTACATTTTTTTATGTGTAAAAGTAAATCTTTCATGTATTCTTTCCCTTTTCATTTGGACATCTGCTTTACTTTTTTGCCCCTTAATTCTTGTCACATTATAGGGAAAATAACTTTTCATGGTCATTTATAATAATGTTGAAATTAAGAAAGTTCATTTTCTTTTATGCGTAAAAGTAAATCTTTCATGGGTAGAAAAAGTGATAGGGTTACAAAATTAAAAACAAGTTTGTAAAGACACACAAAACCATTTGACACCCTATAGGTTTTATCCTTACATCTATTCAATATAAGAGCTTAACTTATATAGATTGCTAGAGGAAAGAATTTTTACATTGGCACATCATTCCATAAATATGTAATTTCCCTCAATAAAAGTGAGATTTGTAGTTAATTTCCCAATTATACTTTTTACTTGTCCGGTTAAAGTAATAGGTCCCCCATAAATTTGGAACATGTTATGGATCCAATATCCACAACTAAATACAGAAATAACAGATTGATATATTGATTCTGATAACAAGGAATTACACTGAAAAGGTAACAATAACTAAGGATAGTAACAGAAAGAAAGGGGATGGGAAGACAGAGCCATAGAGAGAAATAGTCGAGGGAGAGAGAGAGACCAGAGAGGGGAAGTTTCTACAAAATTTAGCCTAGTCCTAGTATTGCTACTCTACCTTATTTTAACCAGTTTTGTTAATTGTTTACAGTACTTGGGCCCATCAACCCGGATCCCACATCATGGCCCATTGACTATTTTTATT